TTCCCCTGGTTTTTCTGCACCAAATCATGTTGTGGCTACTCAAGGAAACACTCAGTTAGAGAATATTTAGAACTCCCTTTATACAAGAAATAAAGAACCAGCTTCAAGCTCAAGGGGTTAGGGAATTCTCCCATCAATGGAGAGCCATGTGGATTTGGTTTACTCCATCGGGTTTGATACACGGTCGACCATCTAGTCTTCCAAGTTACTCCATACTCTGAGATACGAATCACTTCACAACTCTCTTATCATTTGGAAGTCCTGGACACCTGGTGAGTGTATGGGATTGGGTTCTAGTTGTTATGATGATGAGACATTCGACACAAGTTTTTTATGATGATGAGACATCTGGTGTGGGCAGACCATGGTAGCATTTGAGCGGAGGCGGACCCAGAATACAACTTAGCTGAATGTGAAACCAGACTTGATCGATTTTACCTCTGTGAATATGAATTTTGATTTGAGGGAATCTATTAACCAACCTTAATAGGGGTTCGAGATTAAGAATTTTGGTCGGTCGGAGCACCGTAAATCTGAATCCCTGTCTGAGGACGTATGTTAGCATCATCTCACCGTGGTATGAGATCGTGACGAAAGATCGATCTAAGTTTGATCAGAACTCGGTGGATCCAAACGCCATAGCCCTGAGACCTTGACTTCAGGTAACCTCTATTCTCTCGTCGAAGATGATTTCGAATTATGGATATAAGAATCAGATTTAACCTCGTGGAATCGTAGGAATCAAAAGTCGATTCCCACAGGTGGTGCCACTATTTTGATGCAAAACCAGAAATGGAGGAGATTGTGGAAACTATAGTGGGACAGAGCTTCCTATTCGATTCCGTGATGCGACACCTTGAATCAGAGGTTACGATCGTGATGCCTCTGATCCAAGGTGTCTCATCACTGAATTATATATGACTCTAACGCTCAAGTTAATTTAGAATTTAAGATACTCGTAGTGAAAATGAAGATTCGACACCTTAAAAATGAAGATATTTATACCTTAGAATCAATGGAACAAGCATAATAAATAGGCGTTATTTTTATTGGACTTTTGGCCAACACGAAACACTAGTAAAAGTTAACTTTCATTAAATAATAAATAACAAATATTTAAATAAGTATAAGAAATTAATAATTTAAAGAAATGAAAATTTAAATAGTTCACATGAGAAAAGCTAAGATTTATTATGACAAATTTATTGAAGAAAACATAATATAGTTACATTTCTTATCTCCCTATTTTATCCTTTTATGTAACTTGTCTTTCAAATTCACTGTCAGGTTTTTTAACTTAAAAATGATTATGTCTCTATTTTTTCCACATTGAGACAAATTAGAATTTTTTACACAATTAACTCAGTTTTTCAAAAATATTCTTAAAATATTTCACATTTTAAATAATTTTCTAATATTTTTTTTTTAAAAGCAATGTATTCATTGGTGCCAACCAATTTGGCGATTACATTTAAACTTTAAAAGGAGGTGTCAATTGGATTGGCACTTGCAATAAGTGTTTTCAATTTAATTGACGTCTATGTACAGTTGTTAAAGGGAGGCGCAAATAGGTCATGCACCAATGTGTGTTATGATTTTTTAAACTTTAATAATTATAGTAGAAATTAAAATATTAATATTAAATTCAAGATACGATTACACACAAAAACAAATAAAACCCTAGCGATATTGATATGGTTGATCATTCCGGCCATCATTCCACACCCTTTAGGTATCCTAACTCGTGGCCCTAGCCCACATTGTTGATTCACCACTGGTGTTTGAGGATTTGAGGTCCCAGGAACACCAACATCAGTAGATTCTATAATAAGTTCTTTCATTCTATGAAGTCTTGTGTATGGAATGATGTGTTGCCGTAACTGAGTTCGTGACCCATGCCAGAGTAGTTTGGGTGTGTTTGGTTATGGGTGTGCGGCCAGGACGGTTGAAGGGCGACATTAGTGTGAACGATTCGTTTGTGAAATGTTGAAATGGGTGTTGTGGTGTTTGATAGCCATACATCATGTGTTGGTTTGTGATGTTTGGGCTTCTTGGCTATAGTATGGGGAAGGGTTTGTGTTATATGATTGTTGAATGTTTTGGCTATGGTGGTTACAGTATGATGATATGTTGGAGGCATGTGGATGTTGGGTGTCTTGATAATGATCATCTTGTTGGCGATGGTATGAGGCATGCTCCTGGTGTTGTGGTTGTGTTGCTAGCATGTTTGGGTCGTATGTTTGTCTGTTTGTGGGTCGGTAGCTTTGTTGGGTAGGGGTTATGAGCAATGGGTCTCATAATTTTGTGGGGGTTGGATGTTGAAGTTTCTTATGTGTAAGTGATTTGGCGTGGGTCGTATAGATATATATCTTCAGAGAGGAACCCAAATCCAACAAATATGTACCAAACCATATATGTACGAGTTGGTTTTTCCTTGTCTGGCATCACAGGATCACTTAAGACATGGTTATGGTGGTGCTTTCATATACGACACAAAGATTTGGTGAAGTTCTGCCAAGGGTCGAAGTTCCATTGGTCGTTAACTCTTTGTAGATGTCATTGTCTGAGTTCTTTAGGGGGGATGGGATGTCTTGAAGCATGCCGAACTTCAGTTTTACACGGGAACTATGGTGCATCTCCACAGTGGTGAACCTGATGATCAATGTGTATGCAGTTCAAATAGATGCATCCTCTTTGCTGATTTCATGTCGATGTTGCGTTCTTATATGTGGACCCCAAATGAATTGAAGAGGAAAAATAGATTAGATGGTTGACTAGGTAATATTAAAAAAAAACTATGAACAAATTCGTTAGTGACAATACATCTGGTGGTCTAAGTTGATCAATGAGATTGCAATACTGAGTGATACAATGTCTAGGACATCTGTTTTAATTCATATCACGAGCCGACCATCTAAACCAAGAAAATGTTAAAGTAAGTTAATTATAAATAATAAATGGTAAAGTAAGGCAATATAGTCAATATTGTTAACTTACTTTTGTGCGTACGAGAATGTGTAAGGGTTGTGGTTGATTGGCGCAGAGGACGACAGTATGGACCAACCTCATGCTTGGAGTAAAACAACGCATTCATAAAATATAGATGTGTCTTAGGTTGTGTTTTTACACAACGAACTATACAGATAAGCCAAACAAGCGGACTTCCAACTATATTTTCCTATTTTATATATGTGTCTTAATAAGAGTAAATACATAATATACATACTAGAACCACTACCTTCGAGAAATAAAAAATGACCAATTAAAAGTATAATATAACACCTAATTTTTACAATTCAATCTTGCTCGGTAGAATTTTCATTTAAAGGTAAACTGGCATAATAATCCTTAAGGCGCGTAAGTAAGATACCTTGGCCTCTTGGGTTATTATCTAAGAAATTGACATCTAATAGTTCTTAGCAAATTGTCTTTGCGTAGTTGGTTTTTTCATTGACTGCCATACCTTCAATAGGTAGCCCCAATAACATATACACATCTTCCAATGTGATGGTACATTCACCGGTTGAAAACCAGAAAGTGTGTGTCTCTGGACGCCATCTTCTTGTCAAACTGGTATAAATTTAGCATAAACCGAGTAAATATTAGATTTTGCTAACATGTCCAAAACCGACAAACTCAATTTAAGGTGCAATCAACTCATAGGAGGCAACATATTCATGACCACGAATATGAAACCTAGACACATCCTGCAAAAAAATATATGTGTTCATAAAACTAAAGTTATAATGTATAAAAAAATTATAAAATTAGACACTTACATTAGTCACAATGTTGGTGACGGTTCCTCCAATAGAGATAATAAAGAAAAGAGAACAAGATTATGTAAAGCGGTGTGATTTTAAAATGGTAGGAGACACTTTTATTTATAATAAAAAAATCACAACACATAGTGGTGTCAGACTAATTGACACCTTCCTTTAACAATTGTACATAGACGCCAATTGAACTGTCAACACTTATTGCAGGTGTCAATCCAATTGGTGTCTCCTCTTAACTTTAAATTGTAATCGTCAATTGGACCGACACTAATGAATACTTTTTTTTTTTGAAAAGTAGAGAATATTGAGAAATTATTTAAAATGTGGGACATTTTTGAGAATACTTTTGAAAAACTGGATTAATTGAGTTAAAAATTCGACAAATTGTTATAAAATTTTTTGTAGAGCTCAAAAATAAAAATATAAGTTACGCGTCATTACGTCGTTAATTTCTAGTGCAATGCCAAAATGTGAAAATAAAACCTAAAAACCTGTGTTACCTTAAAAAAAAAAAGATATGTTATTAATTTTCAATATAAAAATGGGAGGAGATCAAAGCTATTAAAAAGAAATAATCTTTGATACTCTATTCAAGATTTTTTATTTTCCTAAACAAACTGATATTTTCTTTATATTTTTACAATATAGTATAATCAATTAATAAAAAGATGGAATTCAATATCATAATCCAAAGCAATTTATATTTTTATAGTAAAAACTTATTCGTGCTTGCCACAAGTCACTTATACTAATTGGAAATATACGTGTAAATCCTTTGTCAACATCTTGACCTGCTTTGTTAGCATGCTACTCTCAGGCAAAGTATTGACTTACTTTTTTGAAGAAAAAAATATGAAGGCTAAGGAACATACATGGTGAAAGGAAAGGAATAAAAGGAAATGATTTTTCTAAAGAAAAATCAATTTCTTTAGCCTCAAGCAACAAAATAAAAGATATAACGAGAAAATGGTCAAATTTGAGTCTGATACATTGAATGAAACAAGTGTAAAGTATATACATATTAATGATTTTAAAATACTAACAGCTATCTCTCAGGTTTTTCTGCTTAAAACAACTCAAAAATTGGTATTCGTGTTTGATGGAAAGATGAAATTCCTATAGTTTTAACTAATAATGGTTTTGGTGCATTGTTTAGAGCACCTTCTTCAATTGCTAGTGAATGGATTGGATAAATAATGAGTATGAATTGAATTCTAAGATCTATAGACTATTATTACTTTTCCTTATCGAGTCCTCTAAGAATTGATGGTTCGGGCGAATCATCTCCTTCACCTTCTCTCCATTTTTGTATATCTTAAAAGTTGGAACAGTTTTTATGCTTTCTGCTTTCGCTATTGATATACACTCCTCGACATCCACCTGTAATTGAGAGTTAAAGAAAATCAGACCGATATAAAATCAAGTTAGTAAATTCATAAAGAATGCTTTACATAATGTACCTTGATAAATTTAATAGATGGATATCTAACGCATAATGTATTGATGAATGGAGATATTTCTTCGCATAGTTCATTTGATGATTCTTTGAAATAAACTACTGAAACACCTGCAAATTCATAATTTTGTCAGAAAAATGGCGTGACATTTATGTTTGAAGAGAAAAGTAATAAGATTACCAGTGAAAGCAATAGCCGCTTTTAATTTGTCTAACGTAGTCATTTCTTCAACTTCAACTCCTAACTTAGTACTACCATTTACTCCTTTGCGAGATTTTTCTAATGCTACAAGAGCCTGACCAAGATTTTCAGCTACTTCGTTGTCATTAGGGAGTTCCTGTTTCAAGATTCGATAATCTCTAACAACTTCATCCCATCTTTCAAGCTGCAACAAGATTGTGCATATTAGAAACTGACGATGAAACATCATCTTTAGAGATACAAATCTACAGAAAACACGCTAATATGATTGTTGCAAGTAGGTTCGATTCACCTTTGCATTGGACGCGGCCCTGCGCAAAAGGGCCTTGGTGTAATTTGGACAAATATTAAGCGCTTGGTTGCAGTCTTGAACTGAATTTTCCCACTTCCCAAGTTTATGCCAACAAATAGCTCTATTGCAATATAGAACATAGTTGGAATTGTCATATAATAGTCCTTCTCCATAAGCTTTACAAGCTTCAGAAAATTTGCTAGAGCGGAAAAGATCATTGCCTCTTGAACGCGCCCTCGCTACCATTCTCACGACATTTACAATCTTCGTAACCTCGACATTACTATTACCTGATACGCTTGCCTTTTCAGCCGCGGAAACAGCATTCTCAAACCTGAAACAATTCATCATTTATTTCCTATTTATTCACTAAAAGTTACGAATTCAAGGCAGTTTAAGTTTGGTGTTCAAATATTTACCTTCCCAAGGCCATCTCAACCTGCGCCGTGACAAAATGCACAAAGGTTTCACCAACCATACCAAAGAACTTGGCTTGAGAACACGCTGGAGGACAACCTTCAATCTTCGAAAGACACGACTTAGCATCCTCAAATTGACGAAGCTTCATATGAGCTTCCGCTTTACAAGCCACGAGCTGCAAGTAAAACAACACATTCAATTACGAAAGCCGAAAACTCAGTCTCAATCCATCATCAAATAACCTACAAAGCACTACCTGAGGACAGAAATCAGCTCCGGCCGCAACAGCATCATCTACCTTCCCGATTACCCTTTTCCAATCACCGTTTTTTCGCGCATCCGCACATTGCTTCAGATGCTGTTCCAACAATAACAGATTATTCTCTTCCGATCGATCATCCTGCACGCCAGCAACAACACGCAGGTGGCGCCGCACATTCTCAACCTGTCCAAACCTACCAAGAAAGTTCCAAAGTCTAATAAGCTAACAGAAATTGAATCCCTCTAATATCTAATGTCAAGAAACACAAGAATGCAATATCCATAACAGAAACACCAAAATCTATGCAAAGAGAATCAAATTGCAATCTCAATTTTAATTATCATAGCAATTTCAATTACCGGAGATAAAGAGAAGCAAGTCTCTTGTGAGCCCTAGCATAAGCAGGATCCAACTTCACAGCCTCTTCACAATCCATCGCAGCCTCACTCAACCTCCCCATCTCCATAAGCGCCGCCGCACGGTTACTCCGGCAAACAGCATTTCCCGGCGACAACGCAACAGCCCGATCATACAACACCAAAGCCTCCGCGAATTTCCCATTCCTATACATCTCATTCCCAGCTCTCTTCACTTCCTCGGGATCAGAACATCTCATCGCGCTCTTCACCGACGATGCACCACGCACTATACTCCCATGGCCGTAGTTCACCGTTCCCGAACCCAAAACATCGGTCCGGTTCGGTCCGGGAGAGGGTAAACCCGGTCTGAGGATCTTCCCGGAGGGACATATGTTTCCGGTTGGAGGTAAAGTTGGACTTGAAGTTGAACCGAAACTGTTCAATCCGCCGGAGTATATCAACGGAGATCCGGTGGATGCCGATCTCCGATGACCGGGCTTAGAGTTCTTGGCCGTGGTGGTGAATTCTTCGGAACGGCTGAAGGTTTTACCGTCGTGAGGAAGTTTGGGAGCGGCGGTGGAATCATGCTTAGTGTGGTCGCGACGCAGAGAATCGAAGCCTTGTTGCTGCATTATTATAATTATTATTTAAGAAAATGAAAAATGAGAAACAGAGAAAAAAAACAAGAGTTTGAAGGAACAGTGTGGAAGTTAGATGGAGGGAGAGAAAATGTTTGGTCGATTATTTATGTTTCTCTCTAACGTTGAAGTTTTGTTTTTTATTTTATTTTATTTATTTATTTATTTATTTCATCACGAATTTGTTTGCTAAATTCTCGGTCTAGGTTCACGGGTATTATTACTTTTCATTACTCACTCTCCTTTAGGGGTATGACGATTTTAGGAAAATCAAATTGGATTCAGTAATGTCATAAATGAAATCATTAAATTACAGAATAAATATGGTTTTTTTTCTCTCATCATGAAGATGCTTCATTCTATGTTATTATATTCTAGAGAATTGTGCTATTTGAACTCTATAAATTTTCCACATTTTTTATCATATATTTTAAAAATACACCAATAAATTGATTTTGTTAATCTAGTATAAATTCGTGAACGGTTATAATCCAAAGGCAAGTATGGGTCACCAAGAGCAACCAAAAGAATCAAAGTAAAAATGTATTTCACATAAGATCTTAGTTGAAAGAGGCATCATCAACATAAAAGCTTTTGTGAATTTCTCTAAGAACCTTTCACATCTAGGTTGAAGTCACTCCCCACTCTTTATTAGTCCAAACAGGGGATATGGTTCTCATGTCACACAAAAAAGAATTAGTGTTACCTGCATGAGTAGATATTATTTTCAAATTGGAAAGACTCTGGTATCCTCCATATCATTCATAATGATAGAGGAATTAGAACAAATTATATCATTTAAGAAATTCTAAAGAAATCCTTTTACAGAAGTCATAAACAGAAAGATGTTAGTGAGATCATTAATTAGGAAGAACAAAACACCACTTTAACCATCTAAAAGTTCCATACCAAATAGATATCACATAGTCACAAATAAATAAAAAATAAAAAATTAGATAAATGACTCTAAAGGCATGTTACACATAAGGCTGGAAAACCACTATCATGATCAACTAGCAACTACTTATAAAAAGATTATCACTAGTGAGAATTATATAAAGAATATGTTATTATATAAAGAATATGTTAGACAAGAGAAAACAATTACTTTCGAGGATACCCATTTATCTTATATAAAGGGGAAAGTCGAGTTCACAAGATTTCTCGAGACAACACGGTGAATTCCACCCTAAAAGATTTTTAGGTAAGTTGGAGAGACAGAAAAAACACAACTTTTAATGAGACATCAAGACCATTTATTATCATATTAGGAGAGAGATAGAGAGATCCCTCATTAGAAACATCAAACTAAAAATCATATAGTTATTTTTTTTCATGCTATAATCTATCATATAAGAAAACAAATCACTTTCCTTTACAATTTTTTTTGTCATGTGGCTGAACTAAAACAGCAGCTAATATTCTTATTTTTTCTTCTCATTAAATTCTATTTTTCTATTTTTCTATTCTTGTCTAACCTTCCTCCATGTTGTTCGTAGCCTTGCCTCTCCAACCCCTATTTATTGTCAATTTTGTAACAGCTATCCATAACTCCTCTAATTCATCAACCGTCCCAAAATCATCATGGTTGCCATTCATTATATCCTTCCATTCTCTCAACTTCTGTTACAACTTCACCTGACTCAAACCCTAGCGTTTTTTTGCATCTTCTCAATATGAATCGCGGAAGGAGAAGATGCACAAAAAACGTACAACATATTCTTCTTTTTCACTCTTCTTCTTCCTTCTACTTTTTCTTCTTCCCCAATCGTCACTAACACTGTGATTATATTTCCGGTAACTCAAGGTATGTTTGAATGTAATATAAAGGGTTCAAGAACAAGAAAGTTAGGGTTTTTGTGATTGATTTGATGATTTGAAGTGATGATATGTCCAAGGCTATGTTTAGGTTTTTCATTTCTGTATTCATGTTTAGAGTTTTAAACTTTTTGATGTTTTGTTTTCAGTTTATGCTTTATGATATTGTGGGATTCAATAAAATGTTATGATACTCTAACTTGGTTGATATTTAGATGCAGAAATATGATGTTATGTTTATAGATCGTGTCAATGATGATTTTTTTGAAGCAACACACTATTGGATTTGAGGTACTGATTTGATACACAAATTATTGTTATAATTTATGATAGTTACAATTTCTATTTTACATATAGAATGATTTCGGTCAAGTTGATGTTTGGTTTGAGAAATATCTACAATCGGGTACTGTGAACTTGAGGTTTCAGACGGTATATACTATTGCAAAGAGGCTGGAGATTCTTATGCGCCCGCTATGGTTGGTTTTGAATTTAAAAATGGTCGATCATATCTTGTCTATGATGGTATTGTAGTGTGTGCTGAGTTCAAGGATGCACTGCTAGAGGTATTTCTCTTCATATAGATAACTCTTTGAAACAATATTGAGAATAATTTTTTTGTACATGGTAGAGTTGAAGAAGATAGTGGTTAATGGAAACAACTTGTCATCCAACATGCCACTATCAGAAACTATTTGCAATTATGTTGTATTTCATTTATATTGTGCTCGCAACTCTTTGTGACTGATATACTGTATAATACAATGATTTTAATGCAATTTTATGCCATAATTGTGATAATTTTGAGTCTTTGTTTTGGAGAATTTCATTAGATATTACTGAAATATATGTTATTTTAGTAAGACGGTCTTTGCAGAACTACCGACTTGTCTGTTTGCTCATAATTGGCGACAAGGTAAGATATTTAATAAGACTCTGCTATTTTCCCATATCCAAAATTCGGGAGAGTTTATTTTTCAAAAGAACCAAGTGAGTCAACTGGCAACGTAAACAAACACTTTGAATTGCACCCTTTGGGAGTCTTATGTTGAACAATTCATCAAGTATAACCAGGATTGGGCCGATGCGTCTGTCCCAATTGTTGTTTTGCTTCAATATGCAAAAGTGAAGGAAGAGGGTTAGATGTTTAACTTTGTTATTTCTTAATCAGTAACCTACATTTACTAAAAATTGTGTCTTACTGTGTGAATATAGGAAAGTATCCACTATCAGTGACAAACACCTATCATGTAACTATGCTATGCCTCGATGTTGATTTTCCTCTGGTGAAAGAGTTTATAGTCTGGTAGAGTAATTATGTGACTTATAAATGTTGGATTACTCACTATGTTACTTGGTGATTTTATATTTTTTTATTATACGTGCAACATGCCTAAAGACAATATTGTAATTGTATCCGGCCATCTGGGCTCTAATTCTCAACTCTCATCTCAAACTTTTGAAAATTCACAGCTAACTCCTGTGCAAAAGTTGTGTTCTAAGGTTGTTGTTTTGCCTATCACTGACATTATCAAACTTCATGATGTATGCATTACTTTGCTTTGACCTTATTCTTTATTATTTCATCTGTGATGTTACATGCGTGTTTCTAATTTAGTGTTTATTTCCTGTTATGTCTCTGCAGATCACGTTTTGTGCTACTGTGGCTGAAACAAAAGTTTTGGTTGCGTCTCCTTTTGGTTGGTATTACCATTTCTGCCATCTCTGCCCCTGCATTGCACGTGGTGACATTCCTCTCTTTGAGTGTGAGGCTGGTCATTCGATTGGGGCAGAGATCTTTAGGTTTTATCCCTTGCTCTTTGCCGATTGACTTTGATATGATGCTTAATCTCTATTATGTATGTAATCGTACTTATTATCCCGTTTTACGTTTCATTTTCCAGGTACAAAATTGAGATCAAGGTTGCTTATGCAGGAAAGAGCTGTAACTTTGTATTTTGGAACAGAGAATGTGAACTGCTTTTGGGTGTATCTGCTTCTCAATTGCGTCATACTATGATCAAAGTTAGTACCATGAATCAGATTGATTAATTTTTCCACCATGTTTAAAACCCGACCTTGGTCATTCGTGTTACTTCTTATACATGCTAGAATTCATGATGCGTTAGAATTTCCATTGGCGCTTGATCAGATGTTGAATTTAGAGATGACCTTTAAGGTCAAGTGGAAACCACGTTGGAAGAATTGTTCGGTTGTTATGCTGCTAAAAAATGACCCTTTCATTAAAGAACCTAAAGGTCCATGGAAAGCAATTGAGGTATGAAACATCCATCTGCCATTTCTTTTATGTTATTCTATGTTGTTTACATTTATCCGTCTACATGCTCACCCTATTCTAATTGGGACACAAAGGCTAATGTTTTGATCCCTCCTATAAAAATAGAGTCGCTACAGGTATTTGTCGCACTATACTTTTTTGTTGCTTCTTTGTTTAATTGATTATATGTTATATGTTACAGCTACTATTAATTGTCATTAGGTTAAAGAAAGCATTGATGAAGCCAAAATGGATGCTCCCGATGAATATGATGTCGTAGCAGTAAACTTCATTGTTCTTTCCTGTTTATGGTTGATTATCATATTTGTACAAATATTCTTTTATCCCTATAATTTATAAGTTTTGTCTACTTTGATAAACAACAGGACATGGAGATCACATTTGAGCATAAACCGGGTCCAATAAGACCTGCTGGAAAAAGACAACTCCTGGGTGGATCAAGCGAATCAACCAGCTTTGAAGGACTTTATGACGGAGAACTATCGTCGAACAAGCTTAAAATGATTATTAAGTTGGAAAAGAATGAATGGGCAATGTTATAGTTTCTTATGTGTCTTATGTTTCTTATTTTGGTTTCGTGTTTCTTTTCATTTTTTATTTAGATATGTAACAACTGACTTAAGTTACCTTGGGTTGTAATAACTTCATTTATTATGGACAACCTTATGTTATATATTATGTTGTTCTTGGATAATTATGTGTGACAATTTCATGGTATTTGTATTTACAAGTTATTGTTGTGCTACTACTGCTATTAAACACATTAGTGTCGTGCTATTACTACTATTAAACACAAGATGCAGGTATGTTATTCTGGAACAACAAATTTCTGGATAGCTACGGTGCAGTCAAGAAGATACATAGCTTTTACCCGGCATATGGATCTGCATATCCTACAGCACAGTGCAATATTTAAAGTATACAGACTTTACCGACTGGGACGAACATACACATAGAAATATGATCAAACAAGCCTATAATCAGTTATATCTATGGAGAAACAAACTTCTCAATTTCATGATGTATAGTTCATTTTTATTGTACTTTGCTACATGTATTAGTCTTTTTTAGATTTTTTTAGGAGAATTTTTGTGTTAGACAGTGTGGCAAGTGATCGAGAGGGGGGGGGGGGGGGGTGAATAGATCACCTCCTTATTTATCAAGGATTTAAAATGTTTTATCAACGTTTATTAAAAACAGCAGAAAAACACGCTCCCGAATCAACTTTCGTCTATTTTGAACCAACTACTAGGAAACCGGACATACGATAAACTTGCTGGATTTTATTTAAAATTAAACACAGATTGATGTACATTTCAATGGAATTATCACAAGAACTCTATTTCCAAAGAATAAAAACTTGCACGCAATTTTGTCGAACAGTTGGTGTATGCTTGTTCGATGATCAACAATAATGGTGGTTTTAGCAAAAGAGTTTGTACCACAATTGTATCATTAAACAGAAAAACCAGCAAACCAATTGAATCACAAACTTGCAGAAAATGTAAAGAGAAAGAAAGAAAGAAAAATAATACATGGGCAGTTTGGTAAGGAAGTTCCCCACTGTCGTTCTCGCGTGTTGGTACGTCTCCCTCTCAATTCCAAAACTGAAATTGAGACTTGTTATATTAATTTGTTGAATGTTGTTTACAAGGTTACAACACAAAGACATAACGTAATCTCTAAGATCTTCTTCTTCTTGTAAGAACCTTCACTTGATATGAGCTTATCAAGATTCCCTGCAAGATCCACAATCAGTCCTCCGCTTCCACGACCTGTTTGCGAAATCGCCCCGATTTCTAAACCCCTTGCTACGTCTGAATATGACTTGTGCAATCATGACTAACAAACCCGCAAGAATACGCCCGTTCTTGAAGGACAAACCCTTTGGTTTTTCCTTGAAACCCCCTTCTGAATCTTCAACTCAGCTTAGATCACTGATCGTACCACTGAATGTTATCTCTATGATCTCTTGATCTATTGAACAAAGATGTTTATCTTTCGTTGTTGTTGAACCAAGATGATTGAGAAGATGATGAAGATGAAGTATCTTTCAGGTTTCTAATGCTTATAAATTTGATGCACACCAACTGTATTTGTGACACCCCCTATTTTTACTGCAAAATCTTACTTATATATGTAACAGAAAATGGTTAGAGGTGAAAAAGATGCAGTATGAGTCGATGCATGTTTAACATGAGTCGACTCATGTTAGTTGTGAAACATAAGATGAGTCGATAGAATCTGTTATGTATCGATACATACTGGTGGAAAAACATATTAAAGAGAGATCAAATATGTATGAGTCGATGCAAGTCTTTATGTGTTGATACAACATGTTTTCCATAAAGAATGAAGAACCATTCATTTTATATGAGTCGATACATACTGAGTTGATTTTTGATTTTGAAAACAAAACGTGATATGTATCCTGCATGAGTTTATGTGTCGATGCATAAAGGTTTTAAAATATTTTCCAGGAGCATCAACTTGACATATATCGATGCAAAGTATGAATGGGTCGACTCATACTGAAGCATAATTGTTTTTGTGATTCTTTTCTTAAGTATGTATCGATGTAAGACCTTATGTATCGACCTGAAATTATACTTTATGTGCAAAACATTTTTTTGACTAAGTATGTGTCGATGCAAGACCTTATGTATTGACCTGAAATTATGCTTTATGTATAAAACACATTTTTGACATTTTTGAACATGTTACACTATTGTCATATTATGCATACATATAGATTAAGCACATTAAACATTCATTAATACTGTTTTCACACATATTTGCTATCATACAAAACTACTTAAAGAAAAGGGTTGCTCAAATTTTGTTTTTATAGTTTCCATTTTTGTACAATGTAATGGTTCAATTTATAACCGGTGAATCTTGGTTTACCTATTCAAGTAAACATGTTTTTCACATTTTCTCATCATAATTTTTTCAATGGCATCACTCTATTTGTACTTTGACTTTAACTGACTTATTGTTGACGAGCCTATATTCAAATTCCACTGAGTGATAAACCTACTGTCTATAATGTTACAGTCGTCTTCATCAGGTGTCGTTACAATGTAAATAACTGTCTTGATTGTGTTTAATTGTTTCCTTAAAAAAAACTCAACTGTTTGTGGGTGTTACACACATATTTCTCCATATTTCTCCTAAAGCACAGCCTTTTAGTACAAGGAGTATATAAACTGCTATACATTTAATATTGTCGGTTACAAATTTTAAAATTGGAGTATGTCCACAATGAACAACTTCTAACTCTTTTCCTGTTGTATATCAAACTTCTCCTAAACCGACTAATGCAACAAAGAGACATAAATGAACACTACATATACAATCTTATTAAGGAGCCTCAGTCAGCATTCTGAGAATTATCATTGGCTTTGCACCAAGCAAGCAGAGAATCATAACATTTTTGTGAACGCACAAGACCAAGCTTATCCTTCATTTCTGAAATCAACTCCATCGCATTTTGTAAATATTTCGACTCCGGCTCTTTCAATTAGAGAAAATACCTATAATCATGCACATCAAATTGTCAAAACAAGTCAACAATAGCCATGCTTCTTATCAACATTGAATAGAAAGTCGATAAAATTTGCATAAAAAAGTGAATCGGAGCTAACCTTATCAAAGAGAACATTCATAAACAATTCATCAGTTTGCAACTTATCCTTGGAAAGCTTACACAAGTCAACAACAGAGCTGACCGAAAACAAAACGAACATAAGCAAACTTATCTTTGACAGAGGCTGAGGGAGATAACGAAGATAAGTTGATGTAGAGCTCATTCCTCTATAATTCTGCAGTAACCGACAATGGAGTTTGAGATGAAGAGAGAGACCACTGCCAAACGCCATTTATAGTTATACACATCCAGAATCCCTAATTTTGATTCTAGACACATGCAAACAACAAAAAACAGTGGAAAATTGCAGCATAAGATATTCACCACCAAGCCAAATGTTCCTCCACGTATCAATACAAGAGTCATCACCTAGCTTGCAAGACACGAAATTCCCAAACAAATTACCAACCACGAAGAGTCTAGCATTGATCCTTTTACATCACCATACTTGAACTCTATAAGGGGGTACCAAATCATGTTTGTCCCTTGAATCGAACGAAGGCATGTCGAAGCAATGAAGATCTATGAAAGGGTTAATGACATAAATTTACATCACTTTCAGCTTTTCGGTAATAGAGAAATGAATGGAAGTGAAAAAATATCATATAGTTCTATAATTTTTGAGCTCAACTTAGATATGCACTCATATATTTTGATTATCATTTTGAATCTTTATACATAATTTTCATATGTTATTAAGTATGATGTATAAATAAATATTTATATATTGGTGTCTGTGACTTATGTTTTTGACATTAGCAGTGTCGACGTGTCCATCGTGTCATATTATTCCTCTTCACCAATAAGTAATTTTTATGCTACATTTTAACTCTATAACTTCAATATACACACACAATAGATAGATTGTGGAATTATCCTGTTGTATATAGCTTCTGCCTCTTTTGTTAGTCTGCATTGTGTTGTTCTTGCTTTAGAGTGTGTAATATATGAATTTGTAACCTCATTGTTTGATATATTTCAGAGTTACTGTTAAGCCTCATCTGTCTCAAAAATATATGATGTTCCTTTTATGTTTCTAAACACACATCAACTTTGGTTGACTATTATACCTTTTACTTTTAGACTGTTATAGTATGATATTCTGTTTGTTGTACATTTCTTTATCAACATGCCTAACATTTATTATCAG